GAAAAAGCCTCATCGCGGAAATTTTATCGCTCGAAACGCGAGGTAGCATCCCACCATAGCCTCAGGATAGCGCCGATACCGGAAGCCGGCCGGTGCCCCGTCGAGACGTAACAATAGCGACATCATGCTAGATGCTCATTGGTTTAGCGGCCTTATGTTATGCTTATGCTCTGTTATGCATTTCATGTGCGATAAGCGAGAAGCATAGACTCTTACATAACGCATAAAACATGAGGCATAAGAAAATCAACCAATCAGAGTCCTTTATTTCATGGAAAGGAAGGAAATAAAGCACTTTGATTGCTTCATTTTCTTGTGCCTCATGTGTTATGCATTATGCAAGAGTCTGTGCTCCCCGCTATAGGCTTTAGGGCTATCGCACATGAAATGCATAACAGAGCATAAGCATAACATAAGGCCGCTAAACCAATGAGCATCTTATGTAAATCAATATGGCGACATTATGCTAGATGCTCATTGGTCCAGCAGTCTTATGTTATGCTTATGCTCTGTTATGCATTTCATGTGTGAAGCCTTTTAATGTTTGAAGAATCACGTGGTGGAGCGAGAACACTACTTTTGTTATTTCCCCTGTTTCAATAGTTGATGATCAATGTTCTTTTTCGCGCAGTTGTTATGAACTCAGCTGAGTCTTGGCCAAGCTTACCTTGTAGGCGAGGACCCGGGTCAACAATACAACAGAAGAAGAAGTTGTTATCAGCATCTGTTATTAAGTACTTTTCTGGTATGTAAATGGATCAAATGTCATGTTGCGAAACGAAATTAACAAATATTTGTCAGATTGATTGCAAACGGTGGATCGATCAAGAGTTGACATCTTCACCGTTTGATCCATTTGTTTGAAATATAACCTATTGTAATACTTGTTTAATTAAGATTTCTAAATAAAATTATAATTAAAAACGAACGAGTAATATGTAATATTTATGTTTTATTTTATTCCTTTTCGGGTATATTAAGTTATATCGTGTAATTGCTTTTTGTACAGACTTCTCGAACTTTTATGTGTCTCGCGCGCTTATATACACAAACGGAACAGTTTTGTAAATTTTCATCTTTATAAAAGTACATTATATCACTGGGACGATAGACAAAATTTTAAGCTCTCAAATTAAATCTATAATCATAATTTATCTCTTACATTTCTGTTTGGCTCTTGATAATCTTCGTAATCTATAAATTCTTTCAATGTTATATCATTTCTATTCTGGCATGTACATTAGTTTCAAAATAATGTATAAGCAAATAATACAAAAAGCTATATTTTTTAAATTAATATTAAATAAATACTTTTTTGTCTTTTTACAACTTAATTTTTTTACATTACAAGTAATAATTTGCAAGTTTAACTTGTCAAAACAAAAAAAACAAATGTATTTATGTTACATATACATTTTGAAAAGTGTTTAGTATATATGTAATATTTTATCTTAATGTTAATAGATTTGATTGACAGGTGATACACGATGCCAAAATTACCACGTATCACTAGATCTTTGCGGATATTCACTTCTCTAGAGCATAGAGGAGAAACATTGGATTGCGAACCAAACGACTTACTGAAGAAAAGGCAGGAACGAACAAAAAGATTAAAAAGGTAGATGGATATATTAAGTTGAAAAGAATATGGAATTTTTTATGTATCTTGTGAGTTTATATAATATTTGTATATTTGCTAGAAATATTAGATATTTTCTCGCAATGTGTATATACATCCATTTATTCATATATGTACATCTTGATATAACACCATATATTTACATATTCTAGCATTCTTGAATGGCATGATATATATAAAGATGCATCTAAAAATTTTGCGGCACATCTGCTAGTATTGAGAAACATTGTGCAACAAATTCTAGGTATGTAGTAAATAGCAATTGAATTTGATAAATGAATGACTCAATACTTTATTACTCTATTAGATAACATATTACTTTAATAAAAATTTCTGTTGTATTAAAAACAACGTAGAACTTGATTCGAAAATTAAAATTTTTTATTTCCAGCAAATGATTCCTCAGATGTTATTAATGAATTCACGATTTATGCATTACGTTTATTAATTGAAGATAAAAGCTCATTGAGAGAAAAATATGGTCTACTTGGCCAAAAATCAGGACATATAACGTTTCACTGTGCACAAACTATGATGCAGGTATGATATGATGTATTGTACAATTTTAATGTAGCACACAATGTATGCCTTTGACTATTTTTTTTTATTACAATTCTATATAGGTAGTCAATAAAATTAAGATAGAATGTCATGAAGAAGCTATGAAATTGTTATCAGAATCAAATGCAAACACTGCAGATTCACAGATTTTTGGAACAGATATTCCCTATAATTCAGCTAGGGTCATATGGCCTGATACTGTTAAACTTCACAATATGTCTACACAGAAGACAAATTCAAATACTGATAAATTTACAATGATGATACACGAAACAAAACCTTCAACACAGAAGAAATCTGTAGTGAGTATCTGTTTAATGTTTGAACAAAAAATTAATTTTTTAGTCCTTTTTTATCTTTTTCTCTGTTTATAGTTTGATAAAACAATATTTACAAATGGATTAAAAAGCTGTTACAAAAAATACAGTATAGAAATGTCATATCCAGATTTTGCAACAAAAATAATAGAAACATTAAAGATCTCTGAGAATATACAAGCGGAATTATTCGATTTGTTAGGTTGTGAACACTTGGAATTTATAGAATATATTATTGAACATCAAAGGAGCATCGTATCGACATTTTCATGTTCAAAAGTGTCCAAGAGACCGCAAACAAATGTGCGAGGCCCAATAATAAGTGGTCAAGTGACTATAGAATCCGAAAAGGAAAAGCAGTTATACAAACAAGTACGTAAGGAGGAAAAGAGGTTCAACAGAATGGCGAACAAACGAGATGCCAAGTCAGAAGCCGAGGAAAGAGAATTTGAAAGGAAAGAGAATGAACTGCAAATAAAGAGACAAGAGGTATTGAAAGCCACGTGTACCCCGCTATTTCCTAAAACTAACACTTTAGAGAGAGGCACGCAGGAAGGTTTCCCATTTGTATTCGATTCTAAAGCGAATGCCAAGCAAGCGAGCATTATATCAGGACAAAAATTATTGTTGACCGAAGATGTTACAAGGGAGGATATTGAACTCTGTGAACGAGTACATATACCGATATCGAAACAAGAACCTATTAACGTTAAGATAAATTCTGTGTCGATATCTTCCCTAGACGAGATCGGCCAAATAGCTTTTAGTGGCATAACGTCATTAAATAAGATTCAAAGTATAGTTTTCGACGCGGCGTACAACACTAATGAGAATCTACTGATTTGCGCTCCGACCGGAGCGGGAAAGACAAACGTAGCCATGTTGACTGTGGTGCATCAATTGAAACAGAACATTCGAGACGGACAATTACAAAAGAATCAATTTAAAATAATCTATGTTGCGCCAATGAAGGCCCTAGCGGCGGAAATGACTGCTAACTTTAGCAAAAAACTCTATCCTCTAGGTGTGTGCGTTCGCGAGCTGACTGGTGATATACAATTGACGAAACAAGAGATTCAACAAACCCAGATGATAGTGACTACGCCGGAAAAGTGGGACGTCGTCACGAGGAAAGGTACGGGCGATATTTCCCTCACTAGTATCGTGAGATTGCTCATTATCGACGAGGTGCATTTGCTGCATGGTGACAGGGGACCCGTTGTAGAAGCGCTGGTTGCAAGAACCTTGCGTCAGGTGGAGTCATCGCAGAGCATGATTAGGATAGTTGGGCTGTCTGCAACACTTCCAAATTACGTGGATGTCGCGCGATTTTTGCGCGTCAACCCACACAAGGGATTATTCTACTTTGATCATCGTTTCCGACCAGTGCCCCTCAGCCAGACTTTCATCGGCGTAAAGGCTATCAAGCCGATGCAACAAATGAGCGACATGGACTTGGTGTGTTACAAAAACGTCGTGGAGATGGTGCGGCAGGGCCATCAGGTTATGGTATTCGTGCATGCGCGAAACGCCACCGTTAGAATGGCGAACGTCCTGAAGGAGCTGGCATTAAAAAACGATACGCACAAGTACTTTCTATCCGATGGACAGGCAAGGCACATAAACAAGGCCTTTCCAAAGTCGCGCAACAAGTATCTTGGTGAGCTATTCAACAGTGGACTGTCGGTACATCACGCTGGCTTACTGCGCTCCGATAGGAATCTCGTTGAGAAATACTTCTCCGAAGGTCTGATTAAAGTGCTGGTGTGCACCGCCACGCTAGCTTGGGGTGTAAATCTACCTGCGCATGCGGTTATCATACGTGGAACCGAGATTTACGATTCCAAGCATGGCTCATACGTGGACCTGGGTATCCTGGATGTATTGCAGATCTTCGGTCGCGCTGGCAGGCCGCAATTTGACAAGTCGGGACACGCGGTCATCATTACCTCGCACAGCAAGCTGTCTCACTATCTCTCACTGTTGACGAATCAAATACCAATTGAGAGTAGCTTCATTACATACTTGGCTGACAATTTGAATGCCGAGATAGCGTTAGGCACGATATCCAACGTGACAGAAGCGGTCGAATGGTTAAGTTACACCTATCTCTTTGTACGAATGAAATTGAACTTTCAGGCGTATGGCATGGTCTATCAGAACCTCATGAATGATGTGAATCTCGAAAAGAAACGGAAGGAGCTCATCGACGTCGCTGCGAAGGCATTGGACAAAGCGCAGATGATCAGATATGATACACGCACCGGTGATCTTAATGCGACTGATTTAGGACGTATTGCGAGCCATTATTATCTCAAGTACGACACGGTCGAGATCTTCAACGAACTCCAAAAGTCTCTCATGACCGAGACAGAGATTCTTGCGATGATATCGCACGCTCAGGAATTTGAACAGCTCAAGGTACGAGATGACGAGGTGGACGAGTTAGATGACCTGATAAAAGAATGCGAGCTCATACCACAGGGCGGTGTGGAGAATGTCCACGGCAAAGTCAATATATTGCTGCAAACGTATCTGTCCAGGGGCCGAGTGAACACGGCTTCATTGATATCCGATCAGGCTTATGTCACGCAGAATGCTTTGCGAATAGCCAGAGCGCTCTTCGAGATTATGCTCAGACGTAATAATGCAATAATGGCCGGACGATTGCTGCAAATGGCAAAGATGTTTGAGGCGCAACAATGGGATCTGTTGACGCCATTGCGCCAATTTGATTGCCTCTCCATGGAGGTGATCGACAAGATCGAGTCACGCAACTTGGAGATCTATCGGTTGCAAGAGATGGACGTGAAGGAAATTGGTAATATTTTATGGAATCAACAGGCGGCGATAATGGTGAAAAAGTGTTGTGACGAATTGCCCGCACTGGACGTAGAATACAGCTTACAGCCTATTACGCGCACCATCCTGAGGATACGACTCAAATTAACGTCACAGTTCCACTGGAACGATAAGGTTCACGGGAAGAATTCGCAAGCTTTCTGGATATGGATTGAGGACCCGGATAATAATTTTATTTATCATCATGAGTATTTTATATTGACGAAGAAGATGGTCTGTCAGAATCTCGAGCAAGAACTCGTCGTGACTATACCATTGTCCGAATCGTTACCGACGCAATATCTCGTCAAAATCGCAAGCGATCATTGGCTCGGTTGCGAAGCTACGTTTCCGTTGACTTTTCATGATCTGATTCTGCCAGAGACTCATCCCCCACACACAGATCTGCTAGAATTGCAACCGTTACCGATAACCGCTCTCAAAAATCCAAACTTTGAGAACTTGTATAACTTTTCCCATTTTAATCCAATACAGACGCAAATCTTTCATTGTCTATATCACACGGATAACAACGTTCTTCTCGGTGCTCCGACTGGCTCGGGGAAAACAATTGCAGCGGAGATTGCCATGTTTCGCGTTTTCAAACAGAATTCCGATCAGAAGATCGTTTACATAGCGCCCCTGAAAGCTCTGGTTAGGGAACGCATAAACGACTGGAAAGAACGACTGGAGGAACGACTAGGTAAAAGAGTGGTGGAGTTGACCGGAGACGTGTCACCCGACATAAAGATGATAGCCGGCGCGAGTGTGATTGTCACGACGCCCGAGAAGTGGGATGGTATCAGCCGGAGTTGGCAAACGCGAAGCTATGTGAAAAAAGTGGCACTTATAGTGATCGACGAGATTCATTTGTTGGGCGAGGATCGCGGTCCGGTGCTCGAGGTGATCATCTCCCGTACCAATTTCATATCCTCGCACACGCACAACAAGGTCAGAGTCATCGGGCTCTCGACCGCGTTGGCCAACGCGATAGATCTGGCCAATTGGCTCGGTATCAAAGAGATGGGTCTCTATAATTTCCGGCCGTCCGTGAGACCAGTACCACTGGAGGTTCACATCAGCGGATTTCCTGGTAAACACTATTGTCCCCGGATGGCGACCATGAACAGACCAACCTTTCAGGCGATCAGGCAACACGCGCCCACTAGTCCTTCTCTCGTATTTGTTTCCTCTCGCAGGCAAACTCGCCTGACTGCTCTCGATCTGATTGCCTATCTCGCGGCGGAGGATAATCCCAAGCAATGGTTACATATGCCGGAAGAACAAATGAACGACATTCTGGAAAATATAAATGACTCAAATCTAAAGCTTACACTCGCCTTTGGAATTGGTCTTCACCATGCCGGTCTTCAAGACAGAGACAGGAGAACTGTGGAGGAATTATTTGTCAATAATAAGATACAGGTATACATACAGATAAAATCAGTTGCAACTATACCTTCAACAGCTTCGATTATATTTCAAATTCAATCCGTATTATCAGTGCATAATATAGCATGCAAAGAACAAAGATTTATTTTTATGGAATAAAATTTCCCAACTTTTTTTATACATAGTATATACTTTCTGTACACTTTCTTGCATAATTGTACAAAGTACAAAGTACAACTATGCAAGAAAAGAATTATAAAAGTGACTATCCCATACACTGTATGAATGTAATTGTATTAATCAATTGTTAATTTAGGTACTAATCACGACGGCCACTTTAGCCTGGGGTGTTAATTTCCCTGCTCATCTGGTGGTGATAAAGGGCACGGAATATTATGATGGCAAACTAAAGCGTTACGTAGATATGCCGATAACAGACGTTCTCCAAATGATGGGTCGCGCTGGCAGACCGCAGTTTGATGATTCTGGTGTGGCGGTCGTTCTTGTGCACGACTTAAAGAAAAATTTCTACAAGAAATTTTTATACGAACCGTTTCCCGTGGAATCGAGTCTGATGGGAGTGTTACCTGATCATATTAATGCTGAAATTGTCGCTGGTACCATCAAGAACAAACAAGAGTTTCTCGATTATTTAACGTGGACATATTATTTTCGAAGATTGATGAAAAATCCTAAATATTATGATCTGGATATCTTGGAACCTTATTGTATCAACGAATATCTCTCGAGATTGGTAGAGACCACCGTAAAATCGTTAATGGATTCGCATTGTATCGATTATGATGAGGTATCGGTTACGATGATCAAATCTATTGGAGTAGCATAATTTACAATAGATAAATTCCCTGATATGTTTCTATCTAGGACGAACAAACTTTACTTTCGTTGCCGATGGGTAAGATAGCGTCATTCTATTATTTGTCACATAATACGATGCTGATGTTTATGCAATCGTTAGAGGAGAACTTGACGTTAGATCAGTATTTACGTATACTCTGCAACTCATATGAATACAACGAATTACCTGTGCGACATAACGAGGAATTATTGAATGAGTAAGTCTTGAAAGAGATAGCAAGTCATTCGCGCTTCTTTCGTTTACTTTTTTTTACAAACGCAAATGTTATTTAACAGAGAACTAGCAAAACTATGCCGTTATTCCTCAAATCAGTACGATTCTCCACATACAAAAGCATTTCTGTTGCTGCAAGCTCATTTCTCAAGACTACTATTACCTTGCGCCGATTATATCACTGATCTGAAATCAGTGCTCGATCAAGCAATTAGAATAATACAGGTATGAATATAAATTTAATTTCTAAGATATATGGCATAGTAACGTCTTTTATACTTATGTACCTTTAAATTTGATTACTGACTATACTAACAGAAAAAAATTTTCAGGCAATGATCGACACAGTCGCAGAACGTGGATGGTTAACAAGCACATTAAAGATAACGCAACTGTTTCAAATGATTATGCAAGCACGATGGATAGATGAATCTGCAATAATGACGTTACCGCATATAAGGACGGCAGATTTACGCTTGTTTTCATCGTTGTCGATGGCTCTTCCAATATTGTGTTCCATAACATACAACAATTATAACAGACTTGCAAAGGTTTTATGTGAAGGAGAATATCGGGTAGATCAAATACGTGAGGTAATAAAATTGGAAAAATATCTGTCTAATATTTACATGTTATAAAAAATATTATTTTTTTATTTTAAAAAGTTAAAACACCTATTTTCTAGATACATCAAATAATCAGAGATATGCCAATAATATCAGTTGATTTAATGTTGGAGAATTCTTGGGACATCAATGTTGAAAGGAGGAAGATAATGCTCAAGCCTAATAACGATGATTCCATAGCAGTTCGACGGAATGAGGAGTATACATTAACTATTGGATTGAAAAGAATGAATAATTCTAAAGTTTTGAAAGCACACTGTCCAATGTTTTTAAAAGGAAAGGATGAAAGTTGGTTTTTGATACTAGGCGACATTCAGAATAAAGAATTATGGGCTTTAAAAAGGGTATCTGGTATAAACAATCAGCAGAGATATCATCAATTACAATTTACTGCACCTAATAGCTTGGGTAAATAACTTGTTAATTTGTCCGAGCATATCTCTACGCTTCTTGAAGTACAAATTTCAACATTTATTTTAGGAACAACAAAGTTAGCATTCTACTTGGTTTCTGACTGCTATATGGGATTGGATCAACAGTACAGTATTTGTTTAGATGTAACTTGCTAAATATTTAAATAATAACCAAACACCTAAGACTGAAAACAATAGGTGATATATTATAATTATCGCAAAACCTTTCTATATATTATTAATGTAAGGATTACAAAAATAAAGAAAAAGAAAATTTATAAGATTGTTAATGTATGTATTGAGATGAATGCAAAAGATGAGATTTGCTATAGATGTATATGGACATGATTATAGGATATTTATCATAAATTGTGTACAGAAACTTGTATATTTTTCTTCACGTAATTTTATTACACGTCTATGAAATATATATGTATCGATTATATTGGTTTTTTTCATACAAATATAAACCTTATTACCTCGGTATATAAAGATAGAAAAAGCAACACGTGCAGGATCAGTTGTACGATTTCGTACAATACTTTTGTTACAAACCAGTTCTCTTACTGCCAAATAAATCGATTACTGTATATCATTCATTTTAATTAATGTTTTGGCGAGATAGGATTCTATATCGTAGATCACTTATGCTTTCGCGAAATATATTGTTTGATAGAGATGTTGTAATACACATATAAAAAAAGTCTTAGGAATAAAAAATTATTGAATGCATTTAGGTGTGTATATATACTGATCCTTTTTTAAATTTACATCGTGTTACAGTAATATAATATTTAATTTATTCGGTTTATTTCCCTTCTGTCCCCTCTATGCTTAGGTAATAATAGATTATATAATAGGAAGGATATGAGATCGTTCCATTGCTTTGTATGAAAAGAAAAAAAAAAGAAAAATTTGTGTGAGCGCGCGCACATGTATGTATTTTAAATCCTCTCGTACTGATGTATCAATTACAGATTCATACTAAGGACACAGAAGAGACTTTACAAAATGTTTATAAGTCCAATAGTATATTTAATCTAATTTAATCACAGAGTAAATAGCGAAATGATTCAAGTAAACTTTGTTTATGTGATGATTAAATTATATTTAATTGAGGAAGCTCTCTTCCCCCCCTCCCCCCCCCCCCCCCTCTCTCTCTCTCTCTCTGCACACATCCACCCCCGCACGCACGCACGCACGCACGCACGGTGTCCCATTTTAAATAATGCATTAAGATTTCTTGAAAACTATAGTAGATAAAGAAAAATGTTTCAAACAAAAGTTATATGGTTCGAAGGGGGATATAGGAAGATACCATTTGATTTGACCTTGGGTAGCGTCGCCAAGGTCAGATCAAGGTCACATCGATCATTTTTAATGGAATACTCTTATTTTTCATGACAAAATCTAATAGCTGGTGTCAAGAGCTTTTCAAAACGCTATAAGAAAATATTTTTTCATTAAATACTTTTTGAGTTATGATGTTTGAAAGTTACAGTACTGCCGGCATTAGGTCTGTTCGCGTTGCTCGCACTTTTTGCACTCAGCATCTTTGCTTTCTTTTTTTTCAAAGCCAAATATATATGTATCTCATTTTAAGTGCAAAAATATTTGAGGAATTCATGCAACGCGAACAGACCTATTAGCATTACCTAAGGTGTCCGACCGATGGCTAAAATCTCTTCAATGTTGTTCAGGATCATTGTCCTAGATATCATTTATCAAAATCAAAGCCAATGGAGATTGTACCTCTTATTTTCATTTTTACATAAAAATGAATTTTTAGTGCAAAAATGGAAATAAAAGGAATAATTTCCAATAGCCTAGATGTTGACAAATGTTATCCAGGACATGATCTTGAACAATATTCAAGAGATTTTATATTCGATCGGACATCTTGCGTATTGCTAATGCTGGCGGTACTAAAACTTCAAGCCTTGTAACTCGAAAAATATGTAATAAAAAATAACTTTATTACAGTGTTTTGAAAAGCTCTTAACATCGGCTATTAGATTCTGTCATCAAAAATAGAATGTTCCATAAAAAAAAATCAATGTGATCTTGATCTGACCTTGGCAATGCCACCTAGGGTCAAATCAATTACTTTCTTATGACCCCCTCCGAACTATACAATTTTTGTTTGGAACATTTTTCCCTATCTACCATAGTTTTCGAGAAATCTTAATTCATTATTTAAAATGGGATATGTGCGTGCGTGTGCGCGCGCGCGTGTGTGTGTGTGTGTGTGTGAAAGTGAGTGAGTGAGTGAGTGAGTGGGAGCTATGTGTATGTATGTATATATATATATAGTTGAAATGTTAAAAATAGTAAGCATTATTTTTATAACAGTATACAATTTTGTAATCTAGCTCAAATTAATCTAGACACAATTTTAAAATTTTGCTAATTCATAGCATAGCCTAAACATAACACAAAATTCAAACACCGTAAAAATTATATTACTTCTAACATAAATAGTACATTTAAAATATAAATTTAGGGGTACAAAAAAATTAACAGTTTTAATACATCTCTCTAATTATATATATAAAAAGAATCTAATTTGTAAGTGCCAATAAACAATATTCTCTTCTTTGCCAATAGTTTGAAATCTGCTTTCTCAAAAGTGCACATGCAAGAAACACACTTCGCTGTTAATTCTAAAATAGTTTTATCGAAAATCAAAGCAAAGAAATATTTAAGCTCCTTCCCATATTGAAATCTGGAAGTACTGAATATCTCTTGTAAGTAATAAACCGAAACGCAATTATGCAAAAAGTTTCGGTAATAGTACATTTCTATCTGTTAACATATAGCGCAAGAATTAACATTTGTCCCAACACCCATCGCATAATAGTCATATTATACAAATAATATTAGAAGTTACAGCAGTTAAATTCAGTGTCTCCTCTTGCATTATAAAATCTCAACGTTCAACCTAGTCTCGTTTAATAATAATTTATAGAAGTTTTTACTGTCATCTTACTGTTAAACATCATTCCACTTTAAGAAAATGTTTATAATCAGCGAACTGACCAATGACCATATTTGTATAGTTTTATCACTCAAGAACTAAGGAAGCACTAGCATAACTGACAGAACTGTCATTCATATTGTTACATTGACTACTTTGAGCATATTTCAAAAATTTCAGATTCATTCTTTGACCATTTGTATTTCCTTTAAGACTGTGAATTGCCTGTATAAAGACATAAAATACAACATTGATTAAAATAATTAGAATCTAACTCACTTAGGACCTGCGCATAATAGAACAAATATTGGGAATAGGAATAAATAATAAGATTTCAACCTATCAGATATCAGTTACACTAGAATAAACGGTTTCTGATAAGTTGAAATCTCAATATTTATTCCTATTCTTAATATTTCCTCCATTGTGTGCAGGATCTTATCTATTTAATTTTCTTGCTTTATTACCTGCAACAAAACGCCAATTGGATGTCGACCACATATAGTATTGCCATATTTCTTAAGATATTCGGTGAACATTAAAGGATTCAAAGTCTCTATAATGTCCATACCCTAATTTAACGAACATATGTAATATTATAGACATTGCAATATTCTTAAATTATGAGATTAATCGTTATTCTTGCTCAAAGAAAAAAAATTAAAAACCATACCATTTTGTCGAGATTTTGAATAGATCTATGTATAGGTCCACATGATCTATCATAGTAAGTATAGCGAAAACGTTGTCCCCAGTGACAGAAATCTGAAGAAATGACGAACAATGTTTGCGGATCAGCCATGTAGGGTGCTAACAGTCTCCCGTAAAGCGCCTCTCTTTCCGGACTCAAAGATCCCACCAAAATTGGGATTATAGTAAATGAGTCCTTGAATCTATAAATACATATATACATATATATATACATATATATATATATATATGAGACATACATGAGCCCATATAAATAAGATGAATCATTCTTATTATTCAGTAATAAACAGAGAAATTGTACATGTCCCTAGCTTACTACAATTTTTTATCAATGTATTTTTGCGTATTTCTGATATATTTTAGATGGAAATTAATTTATATATCTAATAAACATACCCTTCCATGACTTTAGCAATAAATGGCAACTGCATTTCAATGCTATGCTCTTCTTCATCTGTGTTCAAATCCATGCATTCAAAATGACCAGTTTCTTCAAGTTCTCTTCTCACTGTTAAAAATATATCCGTTTTGTAAACTCAAGAATTGTACTTTACATGCTATATACAAGAAGCATTTTTCCTTACATAAAATATATTTTTTTCACAATTTGTTATAAGTTCAGCATTTATAAAAAAGCAAAATATAAATATATTAATGCAGGGATAATAACGAAATGTACATATAAGCACCTTGTTGATCAATAAGTAGATCATATAACGATGTTCGGTAAATGGAAGCCGAAGATAGGGCACAACCTGGTAATCTCACATGATGAGAAGGCCCTAGAATAAATATCCTACGGCTGCATAACAGCACGTTGCACGGTTCATTTGACTGAGAAATTTGAAAAATTACAAACTAAACTATATATTATAAAGGCTACTTTATATGAAAATTTAATTGATTAAACTATCACAATATAAACTGATATTCTCTTCTAATGATTACAATAAAATATTATGATTGCAAAATAATATAAATGTAATTTATAGAGATAGGTTTAAATTGTATTTTTACATTTTATAAATTGTGATTAAACATTTGTTTATAAAATGCTAAGATAATGTAGCTAATATAATTCACACTTACACAACTACAGGACTAATTTGTCGGTAAGCAAAACCAGCACATGCCCCACAATAGCTGTATCCTGCATGACTGTAAAATGATATAATTTTAATGAATACACACATATGTGTGTGAGAGTATCTTAATAAACTTGAAGAAAATATTATATTGGACTACTAACGGGGCAATGATGGCTCTCGCGGGTCCATGAGATAAATCAGCAGCGCTTAACCAACCTTCCAACTGTTTACTCAGTTCTGAACCTATAGCAAACAGAGAATTTAACTTTGATAATATATGAATCGAAATTTTTATTATAAAATATAAATACATATATATACATATATAGGTTTGTTTGACGAATTATAGAAATTTATTTATTCTCATTTGAGCAAGTAATAAGATAGATAAAAAGAGAGTATACTATATTATATGATGTGTGTATATGCATTTTCAGAAGAATAAATCATCAAATTCAATTTTAAATTCTTTATTCATGTTATATTACACTATATATTATATTATATATATATATATATATATATATATCGTAGTTAGTCATTCTGCACATAATCAATTAATAAATTTATGTGATTGAAGTGAGAGAGAATTTCCAACTGAAAATATATATTTTTTCTCAAGTCC